CTAATTTTAAGTTTTGAAGATTTTTCCATCTAAAAAACTTGAGTACACCAATTTTGATAAAATCAATATTTTTGATGGTAAATTCTTATGTGTTCTATAATATTTCACAGAAATATTATCATTTCTGATTATTCACAACTGAATAATTAAAGCTCTATTGGTTTCTTTTATTTCAAAAAGTTGGCTAATGAGGTGGCTTAAATAAAATATTAAGTAATTATAATTGTGATAAAAATTTAAGTATATTTACCAAATTAAACATAAAATGTTTAGAACAGAAAATCATTTCATAGAGCAATCAAAATTTTATCGATTTCAGTGAACATGTAAATAAGATATGTATATGTTAAAGGGATATATCATATATACCATAAACTTACAAATATATTTTAAATAGCCATAAAATTTGAAAAGAATGTTTTTTTCTGCTCAATTTTTCAGGTTAGAAAGCCTTATGATTTTTAAAATTGCTTATTTGACAGGTGTGCAAACAGATGCAACATGTTTATTTTATTCCTACTCTTAAAATTTTATTATTGCCAAAAAGCCTATGGGCAAATTTATAATATTTAAATATAAATTTAAAAATTATATAAATTTTAACAGTAAATAAATTCTGTTTCCTTTATCATCTAGGCAAAAATTTGAAAATGAAATTTTGTAACTGTAAATGCTTTAAATACCTTCTTAGTTGGTATTAAGGTAGTATCAGAATGACATCTAGAAGAAAACTTTTTGGGACTATGATGCTGTTTCCAGCTTTTGGCAGGAGTGAAGGGGTAAGGGAGGCATCCGTTATATGGTAATCTTCACTTCAAGAATTGATAGTGTTACAGTGAATGCAAAAATAAAAAGTTTGTATGTTTGTATATTTTGTTTACATGTAAAATATATGTCGTTTCTTCTGCCTATTCAAACAACGTAAGTAATGTTAATTTTAAAAATTCATTTATTGCGTTCCTATTTATGAAAAGGTATATTAATTATTCTTAAGTTACTTTATTTACTTATTTTTTATTAAATCATAGCTGTGTACATTAATGCAGTCATGGGATACAGTATGCTGGTTTTATATACAATTTGAAATATTTTCATCAAACTGGTTAACATAGCCTTCACGGCATCCTCTTAGTTATTGTGCTAAGACATCTTAAGTTACTTTAAAAGGAAAGCTTTTTTCCTTGCTTTTGGATGTATTTAGTTGTCTGACATCTCTCCCAAAGAAGGCACCTATAGAGGCAAAACAAATGCCCAGCAAAGTCTGTGACTATTTTACCCACATTTGCCCTCACTCACCTGAACTGTCTGGCTCCAACCCTAGCCCACCCTGTAACAGCAAGGACTTTGGTGCCACACTAGTTTGGTTTCAGAACCTGATTTCACAACTTAGTAGCTATGGGACTTTGGGCAAGGTACTTGCTAGCTCAGTGTCTTATTCCATCACCTGTAAATAGGTGCAATAACAGTATCCACTCTTTGGTTGTAGTAAGGTACTAAGTTAATGAATATAAGGCACTTAAATCAATGCCTGAAACATCATTTCCTTGGGGAAGCCTTTCCTGCCCTGGCCAGGCTAGGTTAAGTGTCCTGAGCTTTCAGAATTCCTGTATCTCTTTAATTTTCTTGTAAGTACTTAACAAAATTTGCAGCTTGTAGGTATGTGACTAATAAACACATATTGGCCACTAAAATGTAAGCTCCTTGAAGACAGTGTCAAAATCTGTTTTGTTCATCACTGTATCCCAATCATTATAGTGGTTGGCATAGAGTATTTGCATAAGAAATATTTGTTAGATAAATGATAAATCAATCTCAGAGATGAGAATTTTGGAGTTAAGCACAAGTGAACATGATTCACTCAAGATTATATCACTATAAATGACAGAGTAAGAGGTAGAATTTAGTTCTTCTGACTCAAAGCCCCTAATTATTTCCAAGCAGTAAATCCTCAATTATATAAATCAGACAAAGAATCAAGCAACTATTATTGTGTGGGTTCCAGAATAAAAAGTAAAAGCACAATTCAGAGAGAATAGGACTGGTTAATGTACTTTGGAGGAACTGGGCCTCCCTGAGGAACTGGTATTTAAGACATCAAATGAGAAGTTAGAATGGACAAAAAGAAGTGGGCAGAGGGCTCCAGGTAGAAAGAGCCATTTACAAAGTGGTCCAATGATGAGAAAGACCTGGTGAATGAGAACAGAGAAAAGGCCACTGTGATTGCAACAGAAGGGCTAGGAAGTGGGAGGCTGAGGTTGATCAGAACCAGATCATGTAAGACCTCTTGTACCAAAGGAAATGTACGTTCCTTAATTAGTAGAAGGGAAAGACAGCTAGGGGTTTTAAGGGGGGAAATAATACCATTGGCGCTGTATTTTTATACAATGATACTGATTGCACCCTGAGGGATTTGGAAAACAGAAGACTTAGTAATTAGTTGGAGACCAGTGTCAAGGTAAGACAGGTAAAAGAGGACACCCAGGTATCTGGCAAGACCAACAGGGAGGATCGTGGTGCCATTTATTGAGGAAGGGTCATTAGACAGAGCAAGGGTTTAATTTCTTTTAGTACTTAATACACTTTCAATAAATAGTGATAATTATTATGGTTTTGTGGTTGATGGTTTTACTGATTACTGAAAACCACTTACTGTGATTAAGAGCAATGGTGATTTTTATGGATTTCAATGGAACTTGGCCTGATGAGTTGCTCTTACTATGCATATAGGCACCTCCGCATTTGGTGAGTGGAAAGAGAAGTCATCCAAGGGACCAAAGGAGGATAAGCTTAGGATTACATGTGAGAGGATCATAAGAAAACAGCCTCCATCTATCTTAAATTTCCTTTTTCCTTTCCCAAGAATCAAGAAATTTTAGATATATTGTCCATGACCAACAGATTTATGATAGCAAAGGTATATAAGAAATCAGTGCTATATGGAGAGATCAAATGCACGAAATTAGCCTTAATTTGCCTACTGGGCTGAGTAATGGATGAGCATACACAAAGTATTTTACTATAAATTATATAAAGGGATAGTAAGGAAGATATTAAGAAGTATGCTTAGTTGTTAGACCTTGATTTCTATCTTACTTTTCCATTTAGATTTTATGTATATATCCTTGTCTCATGTGACAATCTGTCTTAATCATTTGGATCAATTTACATGTAGTAAAAAAGAAAGGACCCCTATTAGGATGATTAGTTGGTTCATGCCCACTGCCTGTGTTCCCTAGAGACCCATGAGAAACAAAGGCCATGCACCAGCACCAGCCACATGGTGTTCATGAGAATCCCTGTTACCATTATCCTGTTCATCCATTAAAGAGGTCCCAGAGCCTATGAGCTATGTGGCAAATGCATTAAATATACTAAAAGGCATATACATTTCTGAAATTTTAAACCCAGAGTTGACAAATTTTACAGCACTTACTCTACATGTCAATTGAGCATTTTAACAAGGTATCTATGAAAGAGGCAATGAGGGGAAAGGAAGTCAAATCTAAGAAAGTCATATTGTTCCAGTCAGATGAGGTCCTGCCTATAACTTAAAAGCTACAGTGATGTTTGCTTAATCTCACATATATACATTTGGCATCATTTAAGCACAGCCATCATTGAACAACAGCATACAAAGACATGTACAGCAAGAAATTATAAAAAAACCAAAAAGAGAAAAATTTCAAACAACATTCTAAACAAGTTTGACATGCATTTTATTTATACTACTTATAAAGGTTCTCAGAGTATTTTAACAAATTTCATTATTTATGCTTTTATTTTGTTAATTAAACTAGGAAAAGCATCAATCCATATTTATTTTCACCCTTTTATTTAAATAATCACATACACATAGCTTAAAAACATGTTTTCTTTATTGTTTTGGGAAATTTGTAGTTTTTTCTAACCTAGAATAATCCAGCAAAGTATAAAGTATCCCCAGTTCAGTTTAACAAAATGAGCCGGAGCTGAGTCATTTGAACATTTCCATCTACTCCCCCTGTATTAACCAACCCTTGTTTATATTAACTTTAGATTTTTAGCTTTTTGACACTTGTTGAAGATAAGCCATTTTGATTAATTCCAGGGATTATGGAGAAGAATTTTTTTTTTCTTTTTTACATCTTTAGTGGTGAGAAGCATGAGTCTGAAAAACAGACCACATGTTTGAAAAAGGTCTCCACCACTTACAATTGATGTCAGGGGTTCTCAAACTTTTTAAACAGAGGGCCAGTTCACTGTCCCTCAGATCGTTGGAGGGCCAGACTGCAGGCCCCGGGACGAGTCGGCTGCTAAGCAGGACAGGCAGTGGTGGCAAAAACACCCCGTGGGCCAGATAAATGTCTTAGGCAGGCCATAGTTTGAGGATGCCCGATCTAAGTAATGGTTTAATTTCTCTGTGCTTTAGCTTTCTGAATTAACCTCTGTGCTTATCTGTAAAACAGGATAAAATAGAACCCATCTCAAAGAGTAGTTAAGTGTAAAAAGCTTTGCTTTGTGTACAAAACTTAGAACTGTGCCTGGCACAAAATAAGTGTACAAATACCTATTAGTGATCATCATCACCCTTTTAAAATAGAATAATTCACTTTGTTCTTGGGGACTGGGAACAGGAGTCTACAAAGTATATATTTAACTTTTCTCTTGGCAATGCCTTATCAAAAGCATCAATCTTTCTTATTTCCCACTCAAAAGTCATTTTTTTTTAGTCTAAAGGTTCTCATGCTTTTCTTTTACACTGACACCTATATATTATATCAAAACAGTCCACAAGCTTCTTTTACCTGATATAATCTATAATTTTAGAATCCTTTGATTAAGTACATATAAACAGAGAAATTTAAGAACCCCTTACAAAACCTTCAAAGCCCCTTCTAGGTTTGAGGCTCACTTGGTTAAGAACTATGGTTTTAATCAATAATTAATATATTTAGGTTGAAATGTAATTCAGGTTCTTTTTTAAAAGCCCAGTGGGTCATAGCTCTTTTAGCTTCTCTTACCTCACCCATGACTGCTATGGGTGTCTCTCCAGTTGCCTGAGCAACACGGTGTTCCACTAGGTAGAACATATATTCATCATAGAGTAGACGAATCAGGTGGAAAGAGCCAAAGCTGGCAGCACTGCGCAAGGTTAAGTCCCGAATAACCATTGAACTGTTCCAAGAAAAAAGACATATATGCAGCCATATTAGTGTCAAGAATTAGAGCTAAAAATATTTTCCTTTTTAAAAGAAGCCAAGTTGGGAGCCTGTATGGTTGACATAGCATGGATCCTGCCATACAATAACTTCATTATTGAAAGCAGTTGGTTCAACTCATTTGAATAGGGTGGCAAATTAAGACTTGATCCTTATCAGAGCTAAATAGGTCTTCAATGGGAAATACCATCTTACCATCATAAGCAAGTCTGCTGATTCTGTTAAAGTCAAAAATGGATCTGAATTGGATATGAAAGAGTTTTGAAAAGATGACAACACACATTACCATATGAAAAAGAAACTTAAAGTATAAAAAAACCTTCATGGTTGGCATTCTGTTCTCAGTGACAATGATCTTTGTGGTGTACTTTGGGGAAAATATGTATTTATGCCAAACAAAGGGTACAAAATATACTAAGCCATATTCCCAGATGTGGCACTGTAGAATTAAATGAGTATGTACAGGGATTCCAGTAAGTTTTTTAGGAGGTGAATTTATTAAATGGTTCCTATTTCTTATTGAATTTAAATTAATTTTTCCATTTCAATTAAGGTAATTTTCCATTAGAAATAAGTAAGATAAAAATCAATTAAGAGATACTTTTCTCTGAAAAAAGTCTATTTAACTTATATAATACCAAAATATGGACAATATTATTTTAAAAATGCTAATAATAAACTCCATTACATTGAAAATAGAAATGAGTTCAAAATAAAATCTTGGCTTCACCAAAAACATGTCAATCATGAGCTTATTCATGCACTTCACACTTAGAATGATGTGACTGTGTTTCTCACCATTTTCACTTAGTGATCTTTTTCTAAAGATTTTTGGATACTAACACTAAAACAACTAGTATATTTTCAGGAAAGAGAGACAAAATCCCACAAATGTATATGCTGATATTACTAAACTTCAAAAGATTGTATGTTTGCTTTTGTTTCATTTTTCAACATTCAACCTGGCAAGTGATGGATCATGACTGTACATCTTAAACTCAGAAGCCCTGGATTCTGATTCTGGCTCTTCATTAATTGACTGTAGATCTCAAACAAATCATTTCCCTGAGATTGTTTTCCCTCTTGGGTGAAAATAAAAACAATGTTTTTAGTCTAACTTACCTGGTTATTTTAAGGATATAATGAATTAAAGGGTGTGAAAAATCAACTTATGGATGTATAAAATACTACTCAAATATAGATGATTATGATTATAACATACAGAGTGAGAGAAGTTGTGCTTCTCATTCTCATTTGTTTATGGCAGTAAGAATGGAGACTTAGGGATTACTATATGATCATGGCAGAGAAACTTTCATTTCTGTGGATCTTTCTACTAACAACAACAAAAAAATCCCATGAGTTCAGAGTTATACAGACCTAGGTTAGCACTATGTGATTTTTTTTTTTTTTTTTTTTTTTGGAGACAGAGCCTCAAGCTGTTGCCCTGGGTAGAGCGCTATAGCATCATAGCTCACAGCAACCTCCAACTCCTGGCCTCTCTAGCATCACAGCTCACAGCAACCTCCAACTTCTGGCCTCAAGCAATTCTTCTGCCTCTGCCTCCCAAGTAGCTGTGACTATAGACGCCTGCCACAACGCCTGGCTATTTTTTGGTTGCAGCCACCATTGTTGTTTGGTGGGCCTGGGCTGGATTTGAACCCACCAGTTCAGGTGTATGTGGTTGGCGCCTTAGCTGCTTGAGCCACAGGGACCTAGCCAGCACTATGTGACCTTGATTGTGATCAGATATGTTTTGGAAGGTTTAAAGATTAGCCTTAAGAACTAAGGAGATAATATATGTGAGATCTTAAGATAACTACCTATTACTACCCTGCTACATCTATTAGAGTTAATAATAAATTGTAGTTCTAGCAGATGATTCTTCACAGTCAAATAACTTAATGAATTCCTTAAGTTTTAAACTCTGTAAGTGAAGTGTTAAAAATAGATGAATGCTTTCATTTATGCAGCAAATATATGTGATAACATTCAGTTTATAATTCATGTCCTTCCTAAAAGGCAGTGACACGTTACCTATTTTCTAAAAATAATTTCTATGAATGTAATATAATCGATACTTGACATTATTTCCTTTTCTATAGAAAAAATTTTAAAAAGCAAAGAATCCTCTACTTAAAAAAGCAAAACACAGAAATAACAATGAAATGTCATATAACAATTTTGAACCCACAGTAACACAAAATTGAAGTAATTTTTAATGTTATGCAGGAACAGAATATCTGCCCCAATTGCATTTATCTTGTTGAAGAAAGACAAAAAAAATGTAAATTTTTTTGAAATTTAAAGAGGACAAATGGCCAAGAAACATATAAAGAATGACTCATCTTATTCAAAATTAATAAAAATTAAAGTAAGATACCATACATTACCTAGAGGGTTTGGGGAAAGAATATTCCTTTTACTGTCTCTATGAGTATAAATTCACAAAACTTTTGTGGCAGAATTTGGTGATATTTGTCAACATTTAAAATGTCAAAATCTTTGAACTAGCAATCTAATTCTAAAAATTTACACAAATGGAAAAGATAGTTTTAACTGCAGCAATATTTATACACATGAGAAACTAGGAGGAAAAACTAAATATCCACTAGGTAGAATGCCGATTAAACAAATTATGGTTCATTTACATATAGATATTTATGCAATAGCTAAAAACATGAGGCAGACATACAGGGAATACCATAGAAAGAAGTCTGTGATATAATATTAAGTTAAAGAAGCAAAATACATGAGCCATTTATATAAGACTCTCCACACAGCACACAGTAAAAAAAAAAAAAAAGTTTCTTAAATAAATGGGAATATCTAATGCTTTATTAGCATTGAAACAGCACATGTTATTAAACTAGTCTTAGTCACTTTAAAACATTCATATCTATTTACCTGAGTTTATCCAAAGACATATTTACTTGTGTATAAAGATACAAGACACCATTAGAGTTTTTTTTTTTTTTTCATTTGAGGCAGAGCCTCAAGTTGTCACCCTGGGTAGAGTGCTGTCATATCACAGCAACCTCAAACTCTTAGGCTTAAGCAATTCTCTTGCCTTGGCCTCCCATGTAGCTGGGACTATAGGCACCCACCACAATCCCTGTCTGTTTTTTGGTTGTAGTTGTCATTGTTGTTTGGCAGGCCCAGGGTGGATTCAAACCTGCCAGCTCTGGTGTATGTGGCTGGCGCCTTAGCCACTTGAGCTACAGAAGTGAGCTGAGGGTTTTTTTTTTTTTTTTTTCATTATTATTATATCAAACCACCAAAAACTTGCCTGTAATTCTAGCACTCTGGGAGGCCGAGGTAGGCGGATTACTTGAGCTCTGGAGTTTGAGACTAGCCTAACCAAGAAAGAGACCCCTTCTCTAAAAATAACCAGGTGTTGTGGCAGGTGCCTGTAGTCCCAGCTACTCAAGAGGCTGAGGCAAGAGGATCACTTGAGCCCAAGAGTTTGAGATTGCTGTCAGCTATGATGGCATGGCTCTCTACCCAGGGCAATGGCTCAAAAAAAAATAAAACCCCCAAAATCCAAATGTTCAAAAATAAGATAGTAAGTAATACATAATGCATATGACACACATAAGGAAATACTGAGAGGACACTGAAAATTATATTTCTAAAGATAGTTAATGAGAAAAAATGCTTAAGATATAATGTTTAAAAAATGTTAAGGGAAAAATATAGGCAATAATTCGTTATAAACAAGTGTATCCCAATTTTATTAACCCTAAAAGCAATATTTTACCAGTAGTTATTTCTACGTAGTAAAATTATGGGTGATTTAGCTTTATTTTTTGAAATAGTTTTTGTATTTTCTGGATTTTTAAATGTGAATACATATTAATTTCCTAACAAATTTGTTTTGGAAGATGGCATTCATTACAATATAGAAAAACAATACCGAATCAGCTGGATATCAGTAAATCTTTGCAGGGCTAAATATCACAGATATGGAATGAATTATTTCCCTACATATTCCTAAGTTCAAATTAATTAATTAATCATTTTTTTGGTAGAGACAGAGTTTTACTTTAACACCTTTGGTAGAGTGCCGTGGCGTCACAGCTCACAGCAACCTCCAACTTCTGGGCCTAGGCAATTCCCCTGCTTCAACTTCCCAAGTAGCTGGGACTATAGGTGCCCGCCACAATATCCAGCTATTTTTTTGTTGCAGTTTGGCTGGGGCTGGGTTTGCACCTGCCACCCTTGGTAAATGGGACTGGTGCCCTACCGACTGAGCCATAGGAGCCACCCTGAAGTTCAAATCTATATTTCTCTTAAAATATAATAACTCTGAAAATCATACATGCGACTAAGGAGAATGTTCATAAAAGTTTTAAAATGCCACTACAGAAATCAAAGTCAATTTTTCCTAAGAGAATTCACATTTATTCATTCAACAGATACTTATATTGTGTTCCTACTCTATGCCAGGATACTGTTTTTGTCTTGTCAGACAAAATTTTGGTTTCAAACGAGTTCACATTCTGGTAGCTAGACAGTCAATAAATATACAAAGCAGACGTAAAATGTAAAGTTAAATAGTGAGAAATCCTGTATATCAGGGCAAGGGATGGGAGCATGAGGGGGTAGGCATTTTAAATGAGTATATCTGGAAAATCCTTTCTGTGAGGATCTGCTACTGAGTGGAAACTGGATTGAAGTGAGGAAACTGAGCAGTATTAACACACAGGTGAAGTGTGTTCTTGGCAGACAGGCAAGCAAAACAAAGCCCTTGAGCGAGAACTGCATCCGATGTGTGCAGAGAACAGCCAGGAAGACAAGGTGACTGGAGGATGGTAAGCAAAGAGAAGCTTAGTGACAGAGCAGCTTGACGGTGTAGGGTCTCATAGGCCATGGTAAGGTCTCTGAATTTTATTCTCAGTATTTTAGAAACTTTTTAATAGACAATCATCTTATTTAGCATAACATGTACAGGAAATACTAAATTCTATTGGAAAGTTTTAAAAAATATGCTGAGTTTTGATAATACTTAGTTATTTTTAAAAAATACTGTTCAGTATGTCATAAAATTATTGTCATATGTTTAGGAAAGAATCGGTTGAATTGCACCTTGAATGCTATGTCTACTTTATTCTGTGTTGGGCTTTTGCCCTACACGCCAAGTATTAAATGACACAATTAACAGTCTAATTGGAATCCTATTGTCTAATTCAGACTTCTAGAAGATATGTTGCAAAATTGACTTTACTGAATTTCACATTGCTAAGTTACTATGAATTTAACTCCTTTTAAAACCAGAGTTGTAAATATTAATTATTTTATCATGGATGAAAAATACCTTTGTGCATTTATGTTCATAACTCATGGTGTGGAAATTGAAACATATATCCTAACACATGATATTCAATCTGCCCTTGAGTAGCTGAGAATGCATCACACCTTTTCCAAGAATAAAAGTGATAGCACCACACCTGTGACCTTCATGGGACCTTTCTCTCTGAACAGGAATTACAAACGATTCCAAAAGAATATTATTGGCCAGATTGCAGTGGCTCATGCCTGTAATCCTAGCACTCCTGGAGGCTGAGGCAGATGGATTGCTTGAGCTCAGGATTTGGAGATCAGCCTGAGCAAGAGTGAGACCCCATCTCTACTAAAAAAAGAGAAACTAGCTGGGCATTGTGGTGGACACCTGTATTCCCAGCTACTCAGGAGGCTGAGGCAAGAATGATTGCTTGAGCCCAGGAGTTTGAGCTGCTGTGAACTACTATGCCATAGCACTCTACCCAGGGCAACAGAGTAAGAAAAGACTCTGTCTCTAAAGGAAAAAAAAATTGTATTTTTTTTTGGAAAATTCATATATTGTCCAATTGTAGGCATACCAAGTTCTCTGTGCCCCCTTTTAAGCCATGGTATCAAAGCTATGCATTCCACTCTTTAAGTTGGGATATTTGGATAACCTTTAGGGTGACCCCTGAGAAATGTTCTCTACCCTTATCCAAAAACACACAAGCTAAGAAATGGCCCACATAACTTTTCCGTTTCTGCCCAAGAAAGGTGGTGATTTTTTTAGTCCTTCAAAGCCAGGTTAGCAGGGAGAGACCTCCCAGTTGAAGGAGAGCACACCTGCAGCAGTGTATCAACTGCTATTATGATGCTCTGCCAGTTCATGTCTATATTTTTATGCATGTAAATAAAAACACAGAATTTTAGAAATTATGAGATTAAGTATCTGATTTCAGAAGATGAAGGGTCTGTGTATATGACTGCCAAATTTATAATGGCTTTTACAAGTTTACAAATTTTTGGCATTTGCAATGCCAAAAACATGTTTCTAATTCTGCTTCTTTGATAGTTTGTGAATGCAGTTTTCATTATTTCAATATGTTCTTAAGTCTCAGCAAAAAACAGTTCAGATATTAAAGGCTCTTAAGTTTCTAAGCTATTGACTTTATCTACCAGCAGGAGGTACGCATCTGCCTGAATGTGCCTTTCCTTCCAGGGCCCTGAACTATATGCCTTCAAGTCTTTCTGAAATGAAAATAATAACCATAATAGTGTCTAATAATAACAAGCCAATTATCCTCAATGCAGGGAGGACAGAGGGCAGGCAAGTGATGATCTACTGGGTTTGTCTATCTGCAGAGAACAAGAAATGCAAGTCGGTAATTTTCTCTCCTTTCAAGATACCTGCAACAGATCTCTGTGGAGACAAAAGCTCCAAGGGTTTACTTCTAAAATGACATCAGCTAAATATAGGAAAGAAAAATCCCATAGAAAAGAGTAAGGCAAGTCTGACATTAACAACATAAGAAAACAGTAGGCGGGAAACAAAAACCCCAAAACACAAAAAACCCTGCTTTTTCCGATGTGGAGGATGGACTCTGCCTTAGGTCGTGTAAGTTTTAGAATAGCCAGTCAGTGTTACTGCTGTTTCATCAATCTCTCATAGAGCACATATACCATTTACATTATTTTCTGAGGAAAAATTAATGAATAAAAAATTAATTCCAGCAATTGGTAAGATATCTGAAATCCTTATGTTCCCAAATTAAAATTTTGAATTCTACCATTACTACTCATGTTATTGCTTCTAGTTGGAGAACCATGTGTCAGTGCTTTTCAAATCTCCCCCCGAAATGGAGGGAAAACTTAGAATTCTCATCTAGACATTTTTTATTAATGCCTCGATCCAAACGTAGCACTGGTTTCACTGGAGCATAGCAGCAGCTCACAGAGTCAGACAGCGTCTCAACAATGTGCTTCTCCAATCACGTGAGCTAAAGGAATTACATTTATGAAAGGCAGTTTGTGGAATTATGCCACCACAAAAACAAAACAACAGCAGAAACTGGCTAGCTTTCTTTCGCTGTACTGGACACTGGGCTATATACTAGAAAGCTATTTTCAAAATGGAAGACTAATTTAACTCTTAATTAAACATATATAGTGGATCTATACTTCTACTTCAGTTTAAGAAATAAGAATTAGACCCAGTCGGTTGAGAAAGAAAAGAGTGACTTAAAATAAAAACCAAAGCAAGTATTGTCATAATTAAATGGTGGTTAAAACAAGATGGGAATCCTACAGTCTGGGTTTACTGGGTTCACAAGTACTACTAATTCCTAAATTCTGTTATTTATTTATATACCTTCCCTCCAATTCACCGAAAATATCCAGATGAGGACCATAGTGTACTCACAGCCAGAGTCAAGGGTTGTCCTATAGTCAGTACTTTCTGCTATGCACATAGCTGCACAGAATTTAAATTAGAAACTGCCTATACTTCAGAGTAGCTATGGCTTTTAGGCCCAAGGCAATAGGGCCCAGCTTTATTTAAAGTAGCAAGAAAAAAAAGAAAAAGAGCTCTCATCACAAGAACAAATGCCAGAGTTAAAAATATACCTTGCCTAACTTATGAAATAGAATTCCAACTCCCAATTCTATCTTATGTATACATAGTATAATTGCTGACCTACATAGGTCATAAATACTGTTTTTAACCCTTCTGGCAGAGCTACGATCAGCAGAGCTATGATAAACAGTTCATCCTAACATTCGATATCGTATGTCATGTAATCAGAAAGCCTCGGTACTTCCCTATCTACACAAACATACACTTCTATATATATTATTTTGGTTTAAAAGTGATTCATATTATTAACAACCCCTGTTACAGACTACTAGATTACCAGCAGTGCAGTAGAATCACCAGGAGAGCTTTTTGAAAGAAATAAAAATCCTGAGTGCCTCTACTCTTCCTCACTTCCCTCTTGACCACTACAAGTTTTGATTTTGTAGGTTCTGGGGGGCACTTATGATTTTTTTTTAAACATTTAAACCTGGCAGCCAGGTTTGAAAACATTGTTAATTGCTAAAATTAAGAAAGTAACTAGACGGTTCTGAGTATGCCTCAGAATCACCTAGAGTACTTTTTAAAAACCAAATTGCTGGGCATTACCTCCACAGGTTCTGATTTGGGAGATTTAGAGTGGGGGACTAAGAATCTGCATTTCTAACATGTTTCCATCTAATTGTTAGTGATGGCACTGGTATAGGGACCACAGTTTGAAAATCACTGAACTAACAGAACAAAAAGAAAGAGGCCTGAAGAAAGGGGCCTACTTAATGTGTTGTTGCCCATGGGAGGAGGGACAACTGTAGCCCTGTTTTGACTTGTTGCTGAGCACGTTATCTTGACTGGAACCTCAGATGCTCCTACCTGAGAATATCTAGGGCTTTGTGCAAGGGGATTTCTTTTCCTAGTAGAAAGTTTATTTCCCTAAGTCTTCAGGTACATTTCCATGATGTAATCATTGAGTGGCTGAAGATAGTTACAACAAGGAGTTTCCACAAACTGACGCCTTCACTCATTTCTTTTGTCTGAGAAACACACACACACACACACACACGTGTACAAAATATGAAGAAGAGCCCTTAGGAAAAATTAAGATAATACCTGTAGAAAGACCATTTTAGCAGAAATTGCCTGGCAGCTTTAGGAAAACTGGGTCTTCCTTCATAGGGTTTCAGTGCTTGCATCATCACGTTGTCAAGCCATGCAGCCCACTGCTCCAGGGTACTCTGCTGCTGAAGAGTCATCTTGAAGTCTGTTTCTAGTCTCTGAACCATGTTGTCATCACACTGGCACACCCAGGAAGCCTGCTCCTGGGACAGGACACCCAAAGCAAAGGAAAAATTCAACTCAGCACTTTTTTAATAGAATTTTATCACACAGATCAGATGCAAGAACAGGACATTATAATAAAAGCTTCAAATACTGAATCAGGAAAGTGAACAACTACTTATCAGTTGTTTAGGAGAGATCACCTATATGGTCTGTCTAACAAGGTACAAGAGAACTTTTCTAGAACTAGAATATAAATGTTTTGACACAATGACTAAGGAAATGACATGAAGTCTATGTTAATCAGCTTGATGAAAGTATTTCAAATTGTATATGAAAACATCACACTGTATCCCGTGTTTGCATTAATGTATACAGCTATCATTTAATAAAAAAAAAAAGAAAAAAAAGGGAACTAATACCATCTTTATCAGTTTTAGGGGATTAATGTTTCTCTCTGCTCATTTTGGTACATAAAAAAAGTCATGTGATATATAACCTGGTTTTTCCACATTAGCTATCCTGTCTATGTGAAGAACTAAAATACCTTATGACTTAAGAAAAATGAAAGTCTGAACCTACAGTAGGCATAGTCTTTCAGTCTATTCAGTTTTCATAAAGCCTTCAAAATTCTTTTTACCTCCATGAGTTAAAACTTTAAAACCAATTCATTTGAGAAGACTTAAGTCAGATGGGTAAATAGATTCAATTGGCCAAAAGTGGTTCCTCAGGATTAAAATGGAAACAAATACTGAATAGTACTAGGTAGATGCATATGCTGTTACAAGTTTTATGATTGGGGAATAGAAATCCCAAAGGGTATCAAGGCAGGACTATGAATGCAAATTAATTCAGAGAACTGAAAACAACAATAACAACAACAACAACAACAACAACAAAAACTCTTGAAAATAAGTGAGACATGCTTCCTGCCCAAAACTTTGATTACTACCATTTCCCTTCTAGTTCTGGTTAGGAAGTTTCATGTTTGGTAATGGCAATGAAAATAGAAACTTCTAAGGCTATTCTTTTTAGCTTTATAATATTTCCAGTGCCATGTTCTAAGATTAAAAAACAATAACAACAACAACTATCCTCTTAAGGTCAAAATATAATTATTTGGTAATATAATATTTGACTGAGTCAGTAGTCATGGGTTTTAATCTAGGTCCTCAGTCAGTGAAACTGATCTCAAGCAATAAATTTGATCCATATCGGCCTCGATTTTTCTAAGTATAATATTAAAACAATAAAATTTAACAAAAATTTTTAAGCTGAGATCATTGTATCCAGATAATTTTTTCAAGCTGGGCTTCTTTGGAGGGGTGTCTGTGAAGGTCTTGATTCTATATATAAAACCTCGTGAATATATATGCATTTTTCTGAAAAGAGAGCCTATAACTTTTATTCTATATGCTCTCAGAGGACAAGTTCATTCAGATTGACAAGTTTAGCTACATAAAGGTATTAATCCTCTAAGTACCAGCAGCTCTGCCAGTCCTATAAATTTTACCTATTCAAGGGACATTTCAACCTGGAGACACTTAAAAGGCAAAATACTCCAATTTCAATTCATTTTATTTCCCCAAGGTAACTTACTATTTCTTCTGTATCTCAGCTAATAACATCCATTATCTTTCATTCTCTTATCTCATTAATCATAAATTCTTTCAGCTGTTACTTCCTAAATATCACTTTCAAATATGTATTTTAAGTACACTAAAATAGTTATAAGAAAACCTGATAATAGAAATAAAGAAAACCCAAAATAGCAACAGTGAGATAACTATGTTAATGTATAATGCTTCAAGCTTTTCATAAGCATACAAATATGTTTATGAATGTTTTATCATAATATATACATGTACTATATTGTTTATGAATATATTTATAACTTCATATTTACATATACATTTCATAATATGTATATGTTTTTATATGCTTATTCACATACATGGTATAAATGTTTAAAATAAAAAACATTATACATTATACATATTATACATTCTACTATATACTATACATTCTGTTACTTCCACTAAATAATTCTCTTTCTATGTAAGTAAATGTGGTGCTATATTTATTGCTCAATGAATGAATTTATTTCATTGCATGAATATGCCATTATTTATATAACCAATCCCATGCAGTTAGACATTTGTTTTTTCTCAGCATTTTACTATTATGAATAAAGCTGGACTTAGCAATCTTGTGTACTACATCTTTGCTTACTTTTCTACTTATTTTTGTATGACAGATTTACATAAGAATATCTAAGATCTACATACTGTCAAATGACTCCCAGAAATTTTGTAGCAATTTATATTTTAAAATGCCTCCAAGATAACTTTAAAAAATGTTCTTACCACAGGGAAATGATAAATATTGGAGGTGATAATACACTAATTACTCTGACTTCATCATTCCACAATGTTTACATGTATCAAAGCACATTACACTGTACCACACAAATGTATACATTTACTATATGTCAACAGAAAAAGTCCATTACAGTACCTATGAGAGAATTTTAAGTATCAAGAAAGTAACAGAGTAGTTTGCTTTGTTCATTCCATCAGTGTAAGCACTACTTTATTGTTATACTTTTAACATTATCTTAACTATTTCTAAGTGTATAGCAGTGTTAATTATATGCATTTTTTAAAATCTTGCGAAACTGAAACTTTATTCCCATTTTAAGAGTTTTGTTGTTGTTGTTGTTATTGTTCGTGCATTGGTAATAGGAAGGAGGAACTCACTGGTACCTATAGAGGAATTTAACTTCATTTTTTATCATTAATTCAAACTATTTAGTTGGCAGTTAGTTTTACTAAGAGAAGATAATAATTGAAAACCTAACTTAGATAAATAGAACCACAGCACATGTTTTTGTCTTTTCAAAATACTTTTTATTATACTTTATTTTACTACTCACTAGAGTGCAAATATGCACTGTAAACCTTTGCTTGTGAAAGAAACATAGATATTTCAATACTATCACTTAAAAAGATAAGGATGAACATTTAAAGAAGTTCTTAGCTTACAAATAATTATACCCCAAATGACAAGTAGTCAGGAACATCAAAATCAGAATGGCTTTTAGACACAGAAACAAAAGTGTGTGCAATAGTTAGGTTATCAAGTCAGCCCACCCAAACCTATTCAGCCTATAATGTAGATAAAACCTATTTATATAAAAAGTTAGAGACTAATACATTGTAATACTATTAATTAAATGAAACAGAAAACCAATTATATTGCAATAGAACAATCATCTTGAATGCATGAAGAAAAGATTTAATTAGAGGAGAATATAGTGGTGAAAAGAGATTTATGGATATCCTGAAAGAAACTTCATAGTTCTTTGAAGCCCTTATGGCATTGTAATATTGACACATTTAATTAATTGTTTTTAACTGAAGTTTCCTTACTATGAGAACATTACTCTTTGTATTTGTCAGTCTTGCTGAGGTTAATCTTATGGGGGCAGGGACAACTCCAAAATGAATAGGAGTGGGGTAATTTTAAAGGTGGAATGGGAAGCAGGGACTCTGGGAAAACCTGGTAAAGTTTGGAAAAGAAAAGGAAAGAAAGGAGTTAAAGATGAAATATGCTACTTTGAAAAAGATTACTCATTAAAATAAACAGAACCGTGAAAACTAAAATGTAGGGGGAAATGAGCACTCAGTATTGGGTTCATGGTCCTCTGAAGAAAGGAAGGTGGTTTTGGAGGGTAGATGTTTAATCATACAGGTTTCAGGGCTAATAATTGTCATGCTGGACCCAGAAAAATTTTATAGGTGAAAATAGAGGAAGAGAAAGGGCAGTTTCAAAGTTGATGGTGGAGGGTAAGTAGTGCCTTAGACACATAATTGGCCATATATATGCAAAAATGTTCTCAAGGTCGGTGTTTATGATCAGGGAGAAACTCGCTTGTATAAATATTTCATAGGATTGCAAATACACAAATATACATACGAAAGTAACACTAACAGAACATTAAACTCCTTTCTCAAGATATTATTAGAAATCATTCTTAAAAATAGTTCCTGTTAATAATGGGCTTAACTTGCTTTTTGAAACTAGAAGTTGCCTTACTACTTTAACTTTTCCTGAATATATCTTTTAAACATATCTTTCCTGAAAGAAGATCCGAAGTAGACATTACAGTATAGATTTAAGCTATATAAACTTTCAATATTCTCCTTAAATCAGTTAATGTAAATTGACATTGAAATATGTGAAGTAAATGGTTTTGTAGACATGGGACAGCTTATTCTTATAAATGTTAGGTGTTTGCATATGTGTATGTATCTATAAGATAGACAGATTTTCAAAACTTCACAGATGTCAGAAGTTTGAACCAAATCCATGACAGTCATAATGAACTTAACTAATTTATCATATCCTAAAATGGATCAATATAACTTTTGTTGTATTTTTAATGATAAAACCAGAAATAGAGATTAAAATTTCTAGGAAATGTAATAATTAATAATTAGTTTATTTTTAAAACAATAACATTTTTTAACAGCTTTATTGTGATATAATCCACGTATCATACAATTCACCCATTTAAAATATATAGTTCAAAGGCTTCTTTTAATACATTCACAGAGTTGTGCATCCCTCACTACAATCCATTTTAGAAACTACAATCAATTTTAGAATGCTTTTATTTCTCTAAAAAGAAACCTAACACCCCTATTTGTCACTTTCCAATTCCCTCAGTCCCCTACCCCTAGGCAACCACTAGCCTATTTTCTGTTTTTATACATTATCTATTCCGTGGTAGAATACGTGGTCCTTTCTACCTAGCTTCTTTCATTCAACATAATGTTTCCAAAGTTCAGCTATACTGTAGAACGTCATTTTATTTATTGTGTAATGATATTACATCGTATAGTTATACTGTATTTATCAACACTTGGGTTGTTTCCATGTTTTATGTGGCTAATATAGTGCTACTCTGAACATCTATGTATAAGTTTTGTGTGGACATGTTTTGATTTCTCTTTGGTATAAACCAAGGAGTGGAATTGCACAGTTGTATGGTAATTGTGAGCTTATTTTTTGAGGAACTACCAGACTGTTTTCTGGTAGTGGCTGCCGCATTTTACATTCAGACCAGTGGTATATGAAGTTCCAATTTCTCTACATCCTCACCAACACCTGTTATTACCTTTTCGATATATCATTTTAATGTGTATAAAATGGTATCTCATGCTGGTTTTGACTTGCATTTCCCTACTGACTAATGATATTGAGCATCCTTCCATGTGCTGATCGGCCTTTTGTATGTCTTCTGTTGGGAAATGTCTATTCAGACTTTTGCCCATATTTAATCAGGTTGTCTTTTTATTATTATACTGTAATAGTTCTTTATATATTCTATACACAAATCCTTTCAGAGATACGTGATTTGTAAAAATTTTGTAGGTTGTCATTTCATTTTTTCTTTTTCTTTTAAAAGGCAAGACCTCACTCTATCATCTGTGCTGGAGTACAGTGGTCCAATAATAGCTCCCTTGAACTACTGGGCTCAAGCATTCCCCCTACCTCAGACTCCCAAGTAGCCAGAACTGCAGGTGTGCACCACTATCCCTGGTTAGTGATTTTTTTCATTTTTGTAGACATTTTTGCCTGGGTCTTGCTATGTTGGCCATGTTACCCAGGCTGGTCTTGAACTCATAGGCTTAAGCCATCATCCTGCCTCAGCCTCCCAAAACAACAGAATTGCAGATACAAGCCATCATATCTGGCCTCATTTCACTTCTTTATGGTCTCTTTTGAAACCCAAATGTTTTAAATTCTGATGATGCTCAGTTTATGTATTTTTTCTCTTGTTGCTTATGGTTTTGGTGAGCATTATTATGTTTTTAACTTAGCTATTTTTTAAAGTGTACTTCAGAGTACAAGTAAATAGTCTGATCACAAGATTTTGAACTACCAAAATCCAGATTTATAGCATCTAATTCTTTCAAAGTGAATAAATATTTAGTAGCACCTATAGCGAACTCTGAAATAGAGTTATTCTTAGTTCTTTAGAGATAGGGCACTATACTTACAGAAATATGTCAGTATATCATAGTGCAAATTACTAAATATGTAAATCATAATATAACATAGGTGTTATAAGGTTTGGAAAATGAAGCCTAGAGTAGTTAAAGCTCTGAGTCGTAACTCAAGATCCCACAGTTGGCAAATGGAAATGTTTAGCTCCTTGCCTAACTTCAATGACTAAGATCTTTATCATCAACTATTCAGCAAACCCTGGTTAATAAATTATGTTGCCTCTTGGAACTATTAATCTTATATTACTATCAGATTATACAGATAGTCAGATTATGTAATATCAGATTATATAGATATTACCAATGTAATATCAACTACAAAATACTGGAGCAGTAAAATCACATCTGAGTAAAATTCCTCTCTTTTACAATGTTGTAAATACAGATGCTGTCTGTGTACAGATGAGACATCAAAAAGAAATTCAATGATCCTAATTAAGAAGAAAAAATTGGGTATCTTTCCTTTACAGACATTTTTTATAAGGAAACAGAGTACCTGGACATTGGCAAAGTCGACACGGTTGAGGTCATTGAGCATCTGGTTGATTTGGGAAGTGTTCTGAAGCACTGCACGAGCTGCCTGGGCCAGGTGATTGAGCGATGTGTATCTTCGCAGAGTCTGGGCAAAGGCACTTACAGCGGCAACCTGTAAAGAAATCCAATTAAATTGGGATTTCTTTTTCTTCCTCCAGTAAAAGAAGCCACTGCAACGTTCAGATCTTTTTTCCCTTGCCAAATTTTAAATGGTTTCCTCTAACACTTCAAATTCAATTGGTGAAGATAGTTTACTTGTAAATTATAGCATCAAAATCTCTAAACCAAGTATTATTTTCCTTTTGAGTAGGCTGAGGTCAAGACTAAAACAAACGCCCACATTCTTCCACATCTGAGTGCAGCATTAATTAAACCAGTCTTGCGAATAACTACTCACCCACAGTCAGAAATGACTGTCAACAGAAATAGGAAAAATGTTGGTTTTCATTCCTTTCTGAAATATTGTTTAGGACAGTCAACTAGAAACCAGGCAGATTAAAATTTTCATTCTTATTTGAAAAACCAAACTATATATCCTTCCATTTTAAATTATACTAAAAAGCACATTTCAGAGAACTACCATTCAGATTTACCCTATTACCTTTATTTTATAGAATCCTGAGTAATTTTAAGATAAAATGTGTTCATACTCTTTATTACCAAATATATAGCTAATAAACTTATCAAAGGCAAACAACTAAAAGAATTCTTTTTAAACATTTAAATTATCTTTAAAGGGGCTATCCAGAAAATCTCCATTTGCCTCTCAAAATCTACTTTCCGTTCTTCTCCATCCTGCTCTGTGCCCAGGAAGATTGACCTAAATGGACTACACTAACCTCCTCCCTTGTCTCCTAGATCTGACTGGGTTTGACCAGTGGTAGGCACTGGTAGGAGGTTGAAGGATGGGAAGAAAGGTTAGAGTGTTTAGTCCCTACAACCTCTGCTATCTTCTTTTTTTAAGGGGGAGCCTGTTTTTATTTTTTAAGCCCATTGTAGTCCTGGGAGAAAGACTTATGACATAGATGTCACTCGTACTCCTTTAGTCCTAAGAATGGTTAGGACATCTAACTATTGTGAGCCCTCGGGTGCTTTACCATTCATTCTTGGTTTTCTCAAATTCATTCATACCTTTGGAAATAAACTCTTCTTAAGCTCTCCTCAGTTATCCCTCCCTCTCCCTTTGGATGCACCATTTGTTTCCTGCTAGAACCCTGAATGAACCAGTTTATGTCAAAGATATCAAAGATGATGCCAAAGCAATCTAGATAAATTTATAAATCTCATCTCATTGAAATTTATTACACACACAGAAGATCTAATGGTTCCTACCTTTAAAAATATGTTAAAAATTTTATATATTTCTAGAATGTGAAGATATTGCATTAAATCACTCTGAGTATATTGATAGAAAGTAGTTGAACAGTCACTTGGTTGAGTCATAGGTAGTGTTCTCATAGTAAAAGATGCTCTACCTTAATTCTCCGGGTACAAGATGCTCTATGTTAACAGTGACACGGTTTAGGACAATAGGGAGCTTGTGAAGAAGCTCATATACCCTCAAAAATAAGTCTTACAACTTTTTCCACACTAGGTGCTATTTTTATTTTTGAGACCGAGTCTCAACCTGTCACCCTGGGTAGAGTGCCATGGCATCACAGCTCATGGCAACCTCCATTTCTTGGGCTTAAGTGATTCTCTTTCCTTAGCCTCCCAAGTAGCTGGGATTTTACAGGTGCCTGCCACAACACCTGGCTATTTTTTGGTGGTAGTTGTCATTGCTGTTTATTGGTGGGCCCAGGCTGGGTTTGAACCCACTAGTTCCAGTGTATGTGGCTAGCACCTTAGCTGCTTGAGCTATAGGCACTGAGCCCACACTATGTTCTATTATCATCTTGTTCAATTCTCATAACCATCCTATTACACACATATTATGAGTTAAAGAGCTTTAGTAGTTTGCTCAAGGTTGCATAGAAACTCCATTACAGTAGTGAGATTTGAATCTAGGCATTTTCATTCCAATGGTCATGGTGGTTGGAATGCTGTTTTTTCTTTCAGGGTAAATGCTCTTCATTCATTGAGTGCTCAATGGGGAAAAGGCTGCATTATCAGTGAAAGAGGAAGAGCAGAAGCTACCCTCTACCATAGTAAATCATCCAATCTTCCAAATCAACTTGAGAGGTCAATGAGATGGCCAAAGTTGCAGTTGAACTGCTGCCATGTTCACTTTGATGACAGCTGTTGGAGGTATTGTGATTAATGTGACTGACTTTCCTCTATCATAATTAAATAGTACCTCAATATGGTACTCAACAACAATACTGCCAAAAAGAATTTTCTGTGATGATGGAAAAGCACTGTATAGGTGCTGTCCAATATGGTAGCTGACCACATGGGGCTATTGAACACTGAAATGTAGTACTATGACTAGAAGCTAAATTTTTCATTTCACTTAATTTTGATTTAAAATTCAATGTAAATAGTCGCATGTGGCTAGCCCTATGGCACAGATTATGCAGCTCTAGAGCAGTAATATAAGGGGGGCCTATCAATGAAATGTTGCCTTCTATATGTTTTAGGGATAGGAGGTTTTACTGTAAACTTTAAGCCAAAGCAGAAAGAACCAGGACCTATTTGTGTTCCCACAGAACTTTGTCAGTTACTAGATCTATTACCTTTGTCTCTAGATTGAAAGACATGGCATATTGTTAGTGTCCAATAATAAATACATTCACTGATGAAAAGCCCATAAATGCAATTTCTGTACCAAAATTTTGATAAAATGTAGAACCAGTCCAGTCTTGCCACGAGAATATGTTCCTAGATTAGCACAAAGTAACATGGCTAGTAGGAGATGGTAGAGACTAGAAACTAGTACACTAGCTAAAGAATTCACATTCCTGAGATACATTGATTAATTATGAGATAACTGTTCCCTTCAAGAAATGATCACTTGAGTAACAAAAGCATTCACCAGTGTTAAAAAACATAACATCCTAAAAAAGCAAAGGAACATTAATTTGCATGGACTTTTCAAAATATAATGAGTATAGTAAGAAATTTAAAAAATCTAAAATTCCTTCAAATGGGAACTATTTTAATATCCTAGGGCCTAGGTTATACTTTTTAATATTTCAAAGTAAGCATATATAGATTATTTGCTTTTGATACGTAATTTAGAATATATCTATATATCTCTATATACACACACACACATACACACATATATATATATATGAGAGACACATTCTTTAGAAGAGGGCTTAGAGATGCATCACACTTAAAATAATTCTCTGGTCTGTTTGAAAGAAGTATCATCAAACAGTATCTCTTATGCAAGTTCTTTATTACATGGTTATAAAATATAAATATAAAAATCAGTTTTAAAAGATTCTATATAGCATAACATCAACACTTTACATGATACCATGTGATAGGATGGATATAAAGTTAATTGTTCAGAATAATTTCTTAAACATAAAAGAAAAAGCAAAGACCCACAGTATACCTTGGTTTGTATCATTCTCTGTGGAATATTGTTCATGGCATTGGAAAGCCAACCTTCAAGGCTTTTTGCAAAATTTCGAATGGCTTGGGTCAAGGCACCTAAATGTCAAAAAACAAAAGCAGAACGAAAAAAGACACCAAAGACCATTAACCTTTGTGCTAGAATAAGGAAAAACATGCATCTGCAGCATCTGATAAAGAACAGAACTCATATTGTCTTCACTGATGAAAATTTATATAACATTATTCCTAACTCTTTAAAACATTCAAAAATTATTATTTGGGTTTTTTTCTTTTAAAGCTCTTTTCCCCCCAGATATTTATAAGACTTTGTTGGGAAACAAAAACATTCAAACATTTTTGCTTATAGCAACATATACCAGTTGTGAATATGCTTATGGATTTTCCTATCTTGGACAAAACATTCTTTTCATTAACAGTGTTCTGCTAAAAGGCTACATACTTTCTTTGTAAATTCTTCACTTTAATTTTTTTCAAGTTCTTATCCTATTTGCACTTCTTTAGTTAAAAAGAAAAATAATGCAAAGCTTTTTATCTTTTTCTATGCATCTATTTACTTACAACCTATGAATTGTAGTTATTTTGCATTCTTGTTAAAAAGTAAAGTAAAAATCAAAACTGTCTGACTTGAAAATTCTGGATATCTATTTTCCATTTCACTTAGCAGATAAGAGTTGAAAGATCAGTGTGACAAAATTGTTCTTACAGAAACCAATATTCTTAAGCTATTTCTAACAGAGTTCATCCTACAGGGTATCCTAAAAGTCATTCCTAAAATCACCACTCATAGGGGAAAATGGGAAACTGCAGATAAATGTTAAGTTTATTTTTAAAATATTCATTATAAAATTTTAAAAGAGTGGCCAATATGTAAAGAATATTTTGTGAATATCTCATAGAATTCTGTATACATCCTGTATATACTTAATATATCCGTTAACACTTGAAATAGGAATGGGTCCTACGACAGAAGATTTTGTTAAATGATTAGAAGCATCTTCAGTTATCAGTGACGATTATGACTATTTTATAAGAAGAAATCTGCTTACTGAGATTGCTATACATTAGGAGACAGAATTCTTCTCGTGTTCAACAAGTAATTCAGTCAATAGTGTTTTACTTCCTCTGTGCCAAGGCTCTGCAGTGTAGAGAGCAGTTTTAGATATTTCATAGATAAATGTTTGAAACACCTACCACGTCAAATTAGTCTCTGCAGGTTCCCTATGTAGTTAAATATCAAGATAAAGTCTACTATTAGAAACAGAGAAGTTACAGTTTTAGCAAGGCTCCCAAAAATAGTTATGATGGGATTAAATTCTTTGGTTTTTCATTCTGTGCTAAAATGAGTCTGATGTACTTCTCTATTTTGTTAAAAGCAGGGTTAGAAGTAATTTTGCTTATTCAAGGTATTTGTAAAAGATATAACTTTTATGAATCCAATAATAAAAACAACTAACTGTTTTCTAAAAAAGATTTGTCTAACTGCTCAAAGCTGGACAGACAAGATCGAAAAGGACTAAATTTCGCTTAGGAAAAACACTTAAGAAAGACTGGGCTCAAGCACGAGAATTGTCTACCAGAAACACTGAATAGAAAATTTTTTTAGAACTGATCTTTTGAATCTCTGAAGCTTCTTACTTTATACAAAACAGAAAAAAGAAAGAAAAATATTTTTCTGTTATATTATGTACTAGAATCATGGAGGGCAGGCATGAATGGAAATGAAAAAGTAAAAAAAAATTAACAACACTTTTTGAAACAATATAATTTTGTTCAAGATTCAATTTGGCAAGCTGTATTTTCCATTTTTTTCTACAATTAATAAATAATAATTATTTAATTTAAAAAATCCAAGAACATATATAAGTGTTACTTTAAAAAAAATTAATATAGGCCTTCTTTTATTTTGATGCAAAGGAGATTATAAAATGAAAAGATATATTCTGTATACTAAATAATTGTGAGTTTTACTGACATTATGGGCCACCTTTAATTAGAATTGTATATTTAAGAGTTACACATTGTATATTTAAGAGTTACCCATTGGGTCCTTATACAATACTTTGCAATTAATGTTTTTTGCATTTTCAGATAAATGTCTTTTAGAATATAGGAGCTTCAAGCTGACTTTAAATTAGTGTGATATGTAGACTTTTTTTTAAGCTAAGAAAAGAAATCCCATCTGGACAGAAAATGGTAGAGTGAAGTACTAGTAGTGAGGAAAATACAATTTTTAAAAATAAAATTAAGTTTGCTCTCTCCATAGGGATTCATGTAAGTACAAAATTGTGCAGATTGACTCTGACAACTTTTAAAGGCTCATGAATGAATGGTTTGGAATTTGAAATCTATTTCAAAGCTGACTTGTCTCAACCTGCTCAAGATTAATATTAAAATGCATACAACCAGAATATAGCTATCTAAATTGTATTTTAAGCTTTATTTTGTTAAGCCTCATTGTAGAATGGGAATTAAATTTCCAGATTCCCTTGGGAGGGTAGTACATTAACATATCTTGTGATTTCAAAGAAACCATAAAACTACTCTGCTGAATGTAGAGACAAACTGCGTGACAGAATATGCTGGTTTTTAAATCAAAATTAAGCAAAAGACAAAGGTTAAGTACATTGTGTACTTAAACTTATGTGGCTTAAAGTCAACTAAAATTAATACAAGATTTAAATTAGAGAACTGTTAAATTCACAAGTTCAAGTCTTGTGATACTGATACAGAAGCAAAATGTTTTTTAGAATTGCTTTATGAATATTGATGTTGTTAATATGCCTCAAAAACAAAGTGCCCACTGACATTCCTTCTTAAATCTCATGAGAGAAATATTATGTTGGTGGCATGGGTAAATGAGCTACCCTATACAACTTCTGTTAAACATCTCTAGAGACTTTCACTCAGAGCACAAGGAGCAAGAAAAAAACAGGGAAAATCAGATTCCAGAACATAAATCAGTAGAGACTTCACATAGTGATATTTTCCATGACAACATCACTTCTAATCAATCTTTAGTCAGGAAATTTGATATAGATATACTGAAACATGTTAGCAATTTATAAACTTTTGAGACAAAGTCAGCTAGGTTTTTAAAAACTTACTCCTGTATACATCTGTGTGTGTTCATTGATGTTCATGTAAGTACATTTAAGCATCTATTTAAAGGTGGTATGGAACATACCTCCCACTATTGTATTTAGAAAAAAATAAAGTATAAATATACAAATGTTAGTATCTTCATCTTTTCCTCTACGAAATTCCTATTTTTATATTTTCAAGAATAATTTAACACAAACCATTTATGAACAGTGTACTTGAAATACATAGTCGCCAATTTCATAAGCTCCGTGATTGCTTTTACTTTATTAATGTCAATATAAAGTAGAAACTGCTCTGTTTCTTTAAAAGTTAAGGTCACTAGTACATGATCACATAGATGTTGGCATAAAATAGTTTCAACTGCCTCTAACAATATCTATAATAGCATTTATATTGATACTTGGAGAAAATAGCTTTGTTTGCTACAAAGTAGTTTAAAAAGCACCATCGCTTAAAGAGGTAATCTAACCTATCTATGTAATTCCCATTTTCTTCAAAGTAGGATTACAATGCTTGTGTAGTTACACAGATTTTTCTCTCAAAATGCTAGCTAACCATTACTGTTAATGGAAGCTGCATTTGTAGTTCTTAACATGATGTAGGTGACAAAGTAAGTGCTTTTATAAAGGAATTCAACTTCACTGGAAATCAAGATAAATTCATTTCGAATCAAAAGCAACCACAAAAGAGGTTGTCTCAGCAATTATGGATTTCAATAATTTTGTCTCTATGAAGGGGACTGTATCCCTAAGTGGAATAATTTTTACATGGTTGACTGATCGGGAGTGTTCTTGCAACTCTTAATAAACTCTTAGTTTATCAGGGCAATCAAATCCACAAATTGGATTTTTCATCAAAAAGAAAATGAAAGATTGGAAAATAGATCATTTTCTCCCTTTTATTCAGTTTTGTTCTAAGCTGCTTTCATGTAATAGTATGTGTTATGTGTTTTCTGTTTGGCAATTCTAAATGAATTTAGAATCATTCTGGATTGCAATGTCACTTCCCCAAACTTTTTGGGTGGAATGTATGAGAACAAAAGCATCCGTACTTGTCTGCATTTAACTTACTAGGAATAGGTCTAAGGACGTCGGGGATGAGAATCTCCACCAGAGCCTGGTACATCCCATGGTCACAGTTACACATCCATTTCAGGATAGACTCATGTTTGCACAGAGTTATCAGCTTTGCTTTCGGAAGTCGACTTTCTATTTCACTCAGATTGCTGGTGTGAATAAATGTAGCAAATGAATAGATGGCAAATGAGGATAAAAAAGAAAATGGACTTTAAAAATAGTTTATATTTACCAAATATTACTGAGGTTAGAACTATACCACCATTGCATTGGTGCCATATGGCTGGATATAAAGATAGGTAGATAGATAAAACACTCCCCCAGAGCTGCCTAGGCACATTAATATTTTCTAATGGTATGAAAAGCAGATACGATAGTAATTTCATGAGGATGAAATAGTCTACTGTACTCCCCCAAATCAATAAAAATGGAAACTATATAAACACATTGAAACTTCAAGAGAGCAGTTTGTGGTTTATTTCTAGAATGGCCAAAGCATCAATGTAGTTAATGTTATCAGTTAAGGTTCACAACTGGTATACATAACTCTGATTTATTAGCTGTGACATCTACTTAGCCATGAAAATGAATTGGAAAAGCATACGGGCTCTGACCTTGATTCAGTAATGGTAGTGCCATCAGCTGGAGTCGAGGGAGAATAGCGCCAGAATGTTTGCCACAATTTTTCTATCAGGCTAAACTGAAGATTCACCACAACGTCCAATATTGCCTAAAAAACAAAATGGTATCATTATTAATCTAACTAAAGCTAACATGGGGAAACTGAACTAAATTTTACCAATGGAAGTGGAAGAATCACATAAAATCAGCTACGAAAAAAAAAAAACCTCTTAAAAGATTAAGCAGGATAACATTCGTCCTATAATGGCCTCTTATTCCATCTTCAATTTTACCTCTCTTTTCTCATCCATTTTCATATTTGCTTTCCTTCTTCTGGATTTCTTTTTCATACTTTTCTTTTAAGACAGAGTCTCACTCTGTCACCCTGGGTAGAGTGCCATGACATCATAGCTAACAGTAACCTCCAACTCCTGGGCTCAAGCGATCCTCTTGCCTTAGCCGCCTGAGCAGCTGGGACTATAGACACCTGTCACAAGGTTCAGCTAATTTTTCTATTTTTAGTAGAGACAGGGTTTGCTCTTGCTCAGGTTGGTCTCCAACTCCTGAACTCAAGTGATTCACCTGCCTCAACTTCCCAAAGTGCTAGAGTACAGGTGTTAGCCACCACACTCAGCTTTTTAAATTACTTTTCTTTCATTCCTTTACTTATTGCTGCCTTCTGCATACTTAGTTGTTGCCAGTTTACCTATTCTCAGACACTGAAGGGTACATAGACTCAATAGACATTAGTTTTCTCTGGGTCAGGTAACCACTGGCCATCAGAGAGAAGAGAAGTGAAGAGTATGTGGAGGTGCTTATAAATGGCAGGTGCACTTAGGGCGGCTAAATTAGCTCTAAGGCTGCTGACCATGGGATCCAGGGTGTTCCCAGCCAGGCAGAGGCTACAGCAGAAGCTATGGAGTCATAGGCCTTGAGAGGATATTGCCTCTCTGGACACAGCAAGTGATATCTTACATTCAACATTAGAGAATACAACCTTATCTCTTCACATTTCCTTGCTGGGGTGTCCAACCTGAGACCTGTGGGCCACATGCAGATTATTTGAGGATTATTTTGCTTACTTGTGGTATTAGATATCATGAAAATTATGTGAAATTTTTTTTTTTTTGCTTATCTGCTTTCTTTAGTGTTTGTATATTTAATGTGAGCCCAAGATAACTCTTCTTCCAATGTGCTGCAGAGAAGAGAAAGGTCAGACACCCCTGCTAGAAAATAGCTTTAAGACTGATCCCCTTTTCTAATCTTGGGGTCTTCACTTCCTCTCTCTCCTTAATTTTATTTTCTAGAGCTATCAAGGGCTACATAGGGCATTTTCTTTTTATGATGCTAAAACCTACTACTTTTCCTATTAACTTTTGATTATCATATTTAATTTCACCCTGCTATTGCCAATTAGTTTGTAAATTAGCCTTCATAAAAGCAAGCATAAAATCAAAGAATAACTCGTGCTAAGAACATATGACTCTGATTACTTTGAGTGCTGAACATTAGAAGTAGTCAGTATTATGTATATGATGTCATCTGCATTAAGGACCAGGACAGGTAAAGTGCAAAACAGCCCCATTAATATGAACAAAATTCATGAAAGGTAAGAGACAATATGAGGCAATCTAGAGAATCTATCTCAGTATTTCAGGGAAAAGGAGCAAACCATAACTTTATAATTCTAGAGTCTGTGCCACCTGTGTATAGCTGGCCTAGTGCATAATATAGAGAATAACTTGGGTTAAAAATACTCTAAGGTAAATTGAAATATCAAAAACTGCTTGAGATTATTTTCTGGGAACTTGTAGAAAATGTTGTAAGTAGCTGAATAATGAAAATGGAGAGAAGACAAATTAATTAACAAATTCATCAGTAACACTAAAAACGCAAAATGTAAGCCCTGAAAATAAAGGACATATACATATCCTCTCATCCCAGGCAAAAATCAAAACCTTCTCCAGAAGAAAATGATTCTAGTTGCTTTCTCAGCTGTAGCTTACACACATTCCAAGAATGTGAAGCAACTATGAATATCTGACATAATGTCTTGCACACCTCTATATACAACTACTGTAAAAGCACTGTGCATACATGTTACAAGAAAAAACAGTTGCAGCAACTTGCATAAAAATATACTTGTTCCTTATATAACACAATTAATGACACAAAATATCTTTGATAAACAAATTGTGAGACTACTTTACTTACAGGTAAAGTAAGTATGTTAATCTTTCTTTAAAAATATAAACTCTAAGAAATGTGAAATAAAATAGGGCAAGTAAAGAATTTCAGTTTATCTTAAATTTAGTATCTCTTCAAATTAAATACTCTCAATTAACTCTTTTGAAAGGACATTCACATCAGCCTTATTTGAGGCAGTTTTACAAATGAATAAAACATTTTTTCATTTGTCCACCTACTTTCAAATATGTTCAGACTAAAATATATAGGCAAGTATAAATTAAAATAATCCATATTCTACTGACGCTGGGCAAATGACTATTTACAGGATTAGATATGAGATTCAGACAGTTATATCTCAAAAGTTTAGAATTCTTTTTTATATATGCCACCCTGGCCCCTTGAGAGAAATGATATGAACACTGGTAACTCTGAAATAAATAGGGATTGTTGTATGTCATTCTCTACCCAGACTGATTACTAGACATGTTCCTACCTCTTCACATAAAGAAAATATATTTCTCAAAACTAATACATTAATGAAAATTTTATAATCCAAAGACTATTTTAATTTTACTGAGGGAGCTTATCATTTAAAATAATCTTACTGTACATTTTTTAGCAATATAAATAATCATGCTCCAACTTACATTATGAATAAATATGAAAAACTTAGAAAAAATACTAATTATATTTATATAGGCTGGTTTGCTTAAAGCAAGGTTCACATGACCATAGAGAAATGGAATCTTTATACAAATCTTTACTGAATAAGATTTTTTTCTGTACACCTAAGGATAATACAGGAATTCTGTAATATTGGGAAAAGTACAACAGTCTGAGGGAAATGAATAATAACTAGCTTTCACAATCTCAGGAAAAGCTGGGAACAGGCAAGGCATGTTGAAGAACACTTCTGGCACATGCTATGTTATTAAAGAAAGGATTTGCCCTTGACTGCTAGTAATCTAGCACCCTTAAAAAGTACTCACGTTTGCTCACACAATTCTTATTTATGGGCTGGGAAAAAATTAGTGAATGCTATCAGCTGAGACTTCTTACTGCATTGTCAGCAGTCAGAAGTACTGCCCAGGAAATCCAAAGGATTATCTTTTATTTCTGAGGAGATGACAAATACCCCTGGAATAAAGCTACTTATTCTCTAAATAGAATTCTGACTTGCAGGTACATTAATTTGCTGGCGTGGAGAGAGCTCCCTTCCTAGATGCAGGATACTTAGAGAGTAAGAGTGGGGACAGAAAACACCAAGAGGAACCTTAATTAACCACAAAAATGAAACACAACAAATGAAACAATGATCTCTGGAAGGAATACCTAAATGGTTTCCAAAAATTGTTTTTAATAGAAATTCCTATTTATGATATAAAATTCAAAAGGTAAAAGGAATCTATTGAAAAATTAAGTGTCTCTCCTGACTCCCTGTCACCTGGTTTTCTTCACAAAGCAATCACTGTTCACAATTTTGTGTTCTTCTTTCTAGAGAGGTATATACACATGTTCCTTTTCACTCAAATGATAACATACCATACACTTTATTGCACTGTACCTTTTCTTTTAACATTAAATCCTGGCTTGACCTATGTTAGTACATTTAGAGTTACCCTATTTTTTTTTAAATAGCTGCATAGTTTACCATTTGAAAGACTGTACCATATTTTACTTAACCAGTTCCCTATTAGATATTAAAATACAACCAATATTTCTGCATTAAAATGAATAATGCAACAAATTCCCTTGTACGTGTGTCTCATCACCCATATATAAGTATTTTTGTAGGATAAATACCTAGAAGTGGAATTGCTGCATCAAAGGATTCATATTAGGATAGGCTTAAGAAATGGAGAATAAATTTTATTCTCACTTTTCTGCATTCCTCATCTCTCCACTCTGAGACAAGAAAGAAGAAAAATGAATTTATTAGTGCTAAGAAAAAATGCTCAAAAGAATTAGTGCTAAATTCATCTGTCCTCTAGGAATAAGCTTGATTATTTTGTTTTAGCAAGTTGTCTGGCAAAACTTAGCATGTGTTCATACTATGTTTAAAAAGACTTACCTCACAGTGCTCTCGATAAAGACTCTGCAGTGACTTGATATCCTCAAAGGTAGTACCATCTGGCAAAGAAGAGATTTCAACTTCTCCAAACTCTGGAAGTGCTCGAGATGCATCTGTTACCATGACAACACAACAGAAAAAAGCTATTGTGGATGGTGCCAATTACAGATTAATGAGGAAAAATTTAAGAGGACTAAAAAGAAAAAAATTGTTTCACGGTCAGAGGTCCAAAGAGCAAGGATTTCTCATATTGATATTTTCAAAGCAAAACTTAGTAACTTCATCAGCACAAAATGTAAGAAAAGAGGGAACACTCATAAGAGTTTTGTAGAAAATAAATTTTCCCTATAGTTATACTAGAAATAGCATACATATCACATATTACAATGTTTCTCAATAGAGCGACTCTATGAAAAGAAAAATATCTCAAGCTTGCCTCTATCAATTTTTTTATTATGTTACTTATATATATATAAAATGAATCTAGCTTTAAACTCATTATGTTCATACCTCTTATATAATCACGAACCAAAAAAGCTACAAAATAAATACAAAGAAAGTCACATAGATAACATTAAACTTAACAACACTGATTTCGTGTGATAGATGATCCTCTTGTACTGTAACTAAATTCTCTCTCACAACACAAATACTGTATTGCCCGCTACAGCCCAGGATCTTCTGAGTCTGAGACCCCTAAACCAAGGCATGCTTCATGGTGGCTGCTTCTCCCATTACTCTTCAATATGCAAATGACTGTGAAACTTTCCCTCACACACATACAGGGATATCAGTTAGCCTTCCCTTGGGATGAAGGCGAAATTTACATAGCAAGCCTCTTTCTGTTCTTCTCTCATTAGCTCTGGACAATTAATGTAATTTGCTCTGTACCTGTCCTATTACAGATTCAAATACATACATGGAATTTAAAATTTTAGAGTAATATTTAGTTCTAGTTCTCTAGGTAATTCAGAATATGCTTATTTTTTAAGATTATAATTTAAATAAAACACAAATTCAATGCTGAAGGATCCATAAAAATACACCTGAGGACTTTAGTTTGGGAAATGCTACTATGATGTTTTCAACTTCAGTAGCTATTCCAACCTAAGAGTTTATTTTAGCTGTTTTTCCGAGTAAGTGCACATAGACACATGTACACACACACAGACACATACACACACTAACTCTCTCATAGCATCTACTTATCTTGCTCTGTTGTACGGAAACATGCATGTTCATCTCTTGAAGAGATGTCAATTAAAGTGCCATTTTTGATCCTTTGGCTATGGCAGGAATATGCAAAGTGTTCCACTTCCTAACTCTTTCACTAATAAGAAACATGTATACCATCTCTAAATTACACCAATAGAAAATACTGTGATTGCTTTAAATGCTTATAATTTTTTTTCTAATCCGAAACCATATGCATATGTAACTTTATACAAAGGAAATGAGAATTCTTTTTGGCACTTGAAGCACTCTTAAAAGGAAACACAACACAATTCTGATCACAAAAGCCAATTAATACAAATTCTGAAAAACAATTTCATACTAATGAGCCTTTAATTCATATGCATTTAAAAGTCCTATACAGCTTGAAATTTTTAAAAATAAGCTATGGCGAACATGAAAAGTAGACATAAACTAGGACTATTAGATATACTATGTGCATAGTTTCAGCATCAAAAACTATGTAATTAACATCTGTAATAGACATTGCACTCAGAAAAGACTACTGTTGTTCTCTTTTCAAATCCTAACAGCAAACTAATATGCATCACACCTTAACATACCTAAAAACTGTTGATGATGTTGGCTTTGGGCAATTACAGTTTGCTCAACAGATGTGCCTGTCTGTTGACCACTTCCTGTGAAACCATCTGCAACCCCATCCACTTTCTGCATAGGCTTGTACCTAAAAATATTAGATGGGGAAAAAAATAAACCAAATTATTCCTTGCTTTTTTTGGTACTACCCCAAACTCCCAAGGCATTTAATTTTATTCTAACTCCTTTAATGTCTCATGATAGTTGTAAAAATGGTTTCTCGATAGCCTAATAAAGTTAGGATGCAGAAATTTTTTCAACTGAGAACAGAAAAGAGTGGGAGAGGCAAATGAAGGGGACTCAGTTTTGAAAATCCAGAAATTTACCTAAGAATGAAAGAATTATGAGGTATTTCTTTGGATATCAGCAGCAAAGATGTCTATGGTTATAATTTTAACACACATTAAAAGTTAAGACACAATAACTTTTAATGGCGAATGGATCAAGGGAGAAACATTTTAACACACTGGAACTATGATCTAGGAGCTGAGGCCTAAGAAAGGTTGATCAATGGCGTTCAACTGATATTGCTAAAATATGATCAGCCTATCAATCCTACCATACTGCTTTTCAAATTTCCTAGAACCTTCCATGCATCTCAATACATTTATCTCCCTTGACATTTCTTTACATTCCACAAATACAAAGACCTTAAGCATCAGACTGCAGCAAAATACTACATACGTGCAAGAATCCATCTACAAACATAATTTGCTAAATTAAAAGAAAAAGTAAGTAAGCTACAATCATGTATTTATCTTTAGGTTTAGTCATACAAACTTATGTATTCCCATACGGCTAAGATAGAACAAATGTGCTTCAGCAGCATGAACAAGAAGGAAAATGTCTTGGGAGAGAAATAGCACATATGAAATAAAGCCTGGCCAAGTATCCTAGGACAAGCAAACCCAAAATAAGTAAGCAGTCACTATAATTTCCTCTTTTTCTCTGATTGTACTTATTTTGCTTCATTAAAAAAAAAAAAAAAATTGGAGGCTGGGTACCCAGAGCTCAGAGCTCAGTGGTTAGGGTGCCAGTCACATGCACCGGGGCTGGTGGGTTCAAACTCAGCCCAGGCCTGCTAAACAAAACAAACAAACAAAAGAACAGCCAGGTGTTATGACAGGTGCCTGCAGTCTCAGCTACTAGGGAGGCTGAGGCAAGAGAATTGCTTGAGTTCAAGAGTTTGAAGTTGCTGTGAGCTATGATGCCACAACACTCTATCGAGGGTGACAAGGTGAGACTGTCCCAATTATAAAAAAAATTTAAAAAATTAGAAGTAATCGAAAAGAATAAGTTAAAATCTATAGTAACATTACTACCTGGAGATAACAACATTCGCATTATGTCTGTTCTTCTTTTCACTAATTATACTTACAAACAAGTGAACCTAATATTTTCACCATCCAGACACTTGACTCTCATACTAACACCATAACTCAACTGCCATCATTAATATAAAGTTATTATGAATTACAATGCCCCTAATATATCACTAGACCATACTTAAAGATGTCTGCACTCTGACCTCAGACATGAAAGGAATGGACCTGGCAAAACACTGGACAAACTAATGCTCAGGCTGCCTTTGAAATTATTCAATCTTGGATGTTATGAATTGTAACTTAGATAAAGCAAACTTTTAAGAAAACTGACAAATCTCTCTAATGACATTTACATTTATGTAATGTACTTATGACACTGTACTTATGTGACAGTACCTTACAGACAACTATGAAATGCAAAAATAAAGTCAGAGGAAGAAGAGGGAAAAAAAGCCTTTATCCCCATAATTATAATTTTTGTTATGATTCTCTGTCATCACTAAAATATTGATTACTGTTTTCTGGTGTTAAAAAAGAAATCAAGCCTAATCTTTTATTTAATGGAAAAACTTACTGAGAAGTAGTTTCCAATTGGGCCATATCAAGAGATAATAGAAGAGTTAATATTGTTACGTGTTAGAAGAGCCTTTTATGAAAAACTGAATATTTTTCTAATTTTTTTTCTCCTTAAAGAGTCATCTTAAATAATCAAAGAAACTTTGTGAGGCAAATATTTTGTGTACTTGTATGGGGAACAGTTGCTACCTATTCTGTTCTAGCAGACTTGAATAAATTTTCTACTTATTTCATTCAGGGATGTTTCTTGTTCTCATTGATTCATTCCAAATTTTATTTGATTTTAGTTTTCCTTTTTCAGTTATGAAATAGTTTTTTACATATACATGTGTTTATTAGGTTTCCATTTTTTGCCTTCACAAAATTAAAAAGGCTTAAAATTTAATAACAATAACAATGTTTAAGATAAGGACTAGAAACAAGAACCTTGTAAAGAACGAAAATCAAACTTTATTTGATTTTAGCTTTCCTTTTTCAGCTATGAAATTTTATATCACTAATAAAATTGTCTAAAATTGCTTAACTATGTTTCTTCCTTTATGTTAATAAAGTTTGGGATTCATGGAGTTTAATAAGAATGGTTAAAATACTTTGAATTATTTATCCTGGAGGAAAGATAGAAATTTTTCCTAGACGTCAATTATATTAAGTTTTAATACAGGATTCTTAAATTATTATGAGACTTTGCCCAAGTATGTTTTATCACATTTCCTTTGTCCTACACAGCATTTAGTAAACTATGGATGCTTAATAGGCACAAACATGAAGGAAATGTAGAAATTAATCAAAAAAGAAAATGACATATATACCTCTTAGACCATAAGTTCTCAGAGGGCAGATGCTATGTCACAATCTATCTGCTCATAGTGCTTAAGAAGCCTGTAGCCTATAGGCAAATTCATCTGCTTCCTTAGAAAGGAGGAGACAGATGTTAATACTGTAAAGGGTGGATGTTTCTAAGAAAATATATTTTATTAGTACCATGTGCTAACTGATTGTGCCACTGGAGCACTAGAAAATATATTTTAAATAAGCAATCAAAATCACGATGTGTTACAATTGATAAATGATTATATTTAATAAAAATGATATTGGGAAGCACTAATTAAAGGAATGTATTTTACGCAGGAAATGGAAAATACATCTAGATCAAATTTTAGGGGAGAAAAAAAGGTAAGTTCATAAATTCTGGAGAAACTGTAAAAGGTCAGCACTAAAGGAAAGGTCTTACATAGTAGAAATAAAGAAGAAAACCTGGCAAATATAGGCAGAACTGGGCAATGAATGTTTCCATTCTAATGATAAGAGTAAGGCTAGCAAGGAGAATGGTGGACTGAAAGACAGACAAAGACTAGGCAAAGAGACTATACCATATGTGTCTCCATTCCTGGCTGTCTTGGCCACATGACTCTGTTAGCCAGAATCTTATGTTGTGACTCCTGGGAAAAGATCTGGGGACAAAGTCAGGAAGTGGTATGTGCCATGAAGAATGACCTCGGGAAGGACCCTGTACAAGAGTGTTGGGGTGAGCCTGTAAGGATGAGAGTTTCCAGGTAGTACTAACCTTTGCTTTTCCTGCTTTGAATCATGAATCATGTATCACCTCCATAGGGTATTGCCTGGCATCAGATTGGTATTTAGAAAAAATCCTCAGAAATCAGAAATACTAGACTGAGAAAAGCTACATGTTCATTCTCCTTATAGTCTGTCAAAGAAAAACATCCTATCCCTACCATCACCTTAGAGGTTTGAGTCTTCCCAAACAAGAAGGGAGTTTAAAAGGAAGTAAGAATAATCACGTTAAAAATGGGCTAACCAATAACCCATATCTAGTGCCTCTTCTTGGAGAAAACCATTGCTGATCTATCACTGTTTTGTTTTGTTTTGGTTTTACTGCAATAGATTTATGGGATACAAGTGGAGTTTTATTACATGGATACATTGCATAGTGGTATAATCTGGGCTTGTAGTGTACCAATCACCAACTTGTATACATTTTACCCACTAAGTTATTTTTCATCACTCACCACCCTCCATTCTCCCCTCTTTTGAGTCTCCAATGTCTATTATTCCACTCTGCATGGTTTTAATACTTGATGGTGCATCAAGCTAAAAAAAATTCAATTGCCTAGGCTCACCCTAGATTTACCCCCCCAAATCTTTGAGAACAGGGCTTAGGAAATGGTTATTTTAAGAAGCTTCTGAGATGTTTAAGTAGCTTTTATAGACTTGTCCATAAGTGCCTTTTGGCTCAATATTGTATAGATTCCTTCAGCATAATGTTGTAAAAATATACCAAGTCATTTTAGAAAAAAGTCATTTTTAATAAAATAAGTCATCAATTTTTATTTTTCCCCTAATAAACTACATTTGGGATCACAATAAATATATTTGAATGAATGTTCAAGATAACATACTGCATTTTATCATATTTCATCTGATCTTAATATAAATCAACTTAACAAATGTATCTTTGGTACTTACTATAGGTTAAGGCACGATAGCTGCATAGTTTTTAAAGGCTGGATATAAATATATTTTTTAAGGGTATTTTTAGGTTCTATTGAATTAAATGCTAATTCTACATTAACTGTGGTTGAATTTCAACTCATCTTTTAGCACTGAAACATAACTTTTAGATTTTCTTCCTCTTTATACTTTTCATGAAATAATCACCATAAATTGACTATATTTGGAGAATGATAAACTATAAAAACCAGGGGGGCTTTCTAATGAAAAAAAAAACAAAACAAGCCCTCTCTGTTGAATCCTTTAAAAAACCAAATTGTTTAATATTGAACTACATTCCCTTCCCTTTACCCCCTTTATTTTACAAATTCATTATTTTTAGATTAGGTTTTCCCATAGTAAACTCTTGGTCCTCCTGCATTGTATGTGCTCCGAGAAAGACCTGTGCTGCATAATATAAAGAAAAAGCTCCTGGTTTCAAAATTAGTAAGAAGCAAATGATAATTTTAACAGCTTGCAACTCTGTGGGTAATCAAAGCTAAAGTTGTTAATGATTAAGAAATGAAAGAAACTCTAATGCTTTAATAGCTGACTGTATGCATGAAACCTGTCAGTAACACAGAAAACTTAGAAAATTATCAGGAATCTTCCCCCATGGGGTTAGTATTAGCTGTTATTTAGGACTTGGATGATTGTGACTTTACTTCTACAGGAAAAT